TAAGGAAAAAAAAAAAAAGTTTTCAAAAAATTCCGAAAATAAAATATGTTATGGAAAAAATTAAACTCAACAACATTTGCGTGGGCACTTCATCCAAATTCTTTACCAAATTTGAATTAAAAATCAAATACAGAAAATAAACACTATGATAAAATTTCATAAAAATAAGAAAAAATAAAAAGAGAATTAAAATGAGTGAGTGTGCCAGCACCTTTTCGACACCGCCATCTTAAAAGTGAAGAAAAAAAAAATAGTGAGTGGGCGAGCACGTTTTTACACCCCCATCTTTGACGATTTTTAATGTTTTTTTGGCTTAGAAGAATGACTTCAAATTTATAGGCGTGTAGGTTACATCATAGAGAACTCACAAAAAAAAAATCAAAAACAAAAACTAATTTTAAGACCCCGAAATTTTTTTGGCGGGGGCCGAACCTGGAGGTGTTCGGCCCCCAAACGGGACCCCGAACGCCCGAACGTTCGGGGGTCAGCCAAGGGGCCCCCGAACGTTCGGTTAGGTAACCCTTTATATATATATATGTATATATATGTATATATATGTATATATATGTATATATAGATACATATTGTCTACAACAATATTACATTTGTATACATACGGATACGAAGTTGTATTGCTTAGTTCATTTATATATTTTTTTCCCCCTTCACTATTGTATAAACATGTAGGTCGTGCAGTTTTATCTTACGTAATAAAAATTTACAATTTGAAAATAGGAAAAAATTTGAACAGTTTGACGTATTTTCTCTACCCATCTCCATCATTCTTCAAATAATTTACCATTTTGACTGTAGTCAAAACAATCACAAACAACAAATCAATCAATTAGTTGAAGTGTAATGAAAAAAAAAACGAAGGAATAACCGACAAAACCTGGTGGAATAAAAATAAAAATTACATTTTATACATATTTATAGGGTTTAACCTCTTGATGAGTCAATGAAACTCTGACGAAACAGAGTGTCACAACCCCTCGTTTATTGTCCTCTTCTTCTTTTCTGCCTACGGTTTATCGAACAACTCTGTTTGGCGATATACACATATATGCATATATATATCTGTGTAGCACGGCGAACGTGTTCGCGCCCCCCCATATTCGTGCGAATAACTCGTAAACGTATTCGGATGAACATAAATTTATTCCTGTAAAAAAAAATAAGTGTTTTATTTTTATTTAACTCACGTTTGACTCAAAATTTGAGCATGACTTCGAGCCAAAAGTTGCTTGTATTGTTGTTTTACATGATATATATTTTTTCAGATTTTTACGAGACTTTGTTGTTTTTTTCTTTAATATATATTTTTTATGTTCACTTTCAAAGGTTTTGGGGCGTTAATTCGCGTTCGGGCGAACATGTTCGGGTTCGCCTCCGAACGCGAACACGATGCTACACAAATATATATTATATGTACATATATATATGTGTATATATATCGTCAAACACAACTGCTTGGTAAAACGTCGACAGAAAAGGAGAAGAGCACAACAAAGGAGGGGTTGTGACAAACTATTTCGTTTGAGTTTCACCGACTCATCATATACATATATGTATATATATATACATATGTACATTTATATACATACACACATACACAAAGAGAGAGAGAGAGAGAGAGAGAGAGAGAGAGAGAGAGAGAGAGAGAGAGAGAGAGAGAGAGAGAGAGAGAGAGAGAGAGAGAGAGAGAGAACCCTCGTTTACCCATCATCAAACCAGGACAGGATGAGTCTACAAAGGTAGTTCACTTTGCTGCCCACAACCTTTAGGGTTTGTGCTCATGCACAGACTGCCAAGTACTACAAAACAACAACAACAAAATCGATACATATGCTAATGCCTCTATTATGAAAGAAAGAGGAAAGGGCTTGATATTTTTGTTGCCCCATCCTCTTTGTCTTTCTTTTCCAGAGGGGAAACCCAAGATGTTGTCCACTGCTTCGAACCAAATGTATCTACCCCCACAATGGGACTCCTCCATCTCCTAGCCATACAGGGACCTCTCGTCCGACCACATCCTTTCCACCATTCTCCAACCTCCCTTGAAACCCCTGCGATATCCTCATTACAATTGAAAGTGGAGAAAGTGCACTAAACGACAAGACACAACGGAATACCTGGAGCTGCAAACATTTTGTGAATTACAGTGGCATTATACTTGGCTACGGTATTGTGTACTCAGGCTGGGGACTACGGAGTATCAGCCCTTGGCCCAGCGGTATGCCAAGTTTACAGGCCCTGGGCCAGCACCGGTTAGCCTGGGGCCACACCCGAGGTTCGGACTTCCGAAGCAATGCCAATCAGGTACGGCCTAGCCAATCAACAAACCTACGGCGCGCAGCTGAACCGGCCAGCCGGACGGTTCCGGTACCGCTAGGGGCTTCCAAAACCGACCATCATCTGCTCCAGGAAAGAGAGGCCTGGGCGTACTATGGGGGGCTAGGTCCCACTTGCACGAATTAAGAGTTACTGACCGTATATAGCAAAGATCAACGGCCGAAAACTCCTAATTTGCGCAAGTGGGGCCTTGCCCGGGCAGTGTGGTCCAAGTGGGTGACTGACCGGTCACGTGACCCCTCGTTATTGTTGACGCTGCTCGGTAGCACAGGTGTCCGTGTTGCCTTTTCTTTTGCTCTGCCATCGCGCTTGTTCTCTGCGTTTATTGGACCGTGGGCGGTGGTTTGCATCCAACTACCTCCTCGCAGGGCGGCAGTGCAGAGCGAAGTGGGAGGAGCAGAGCTGTCCGTGATATCAGTGATATCAGTGAAATCAGCGATACCGGTGTTTGGGTCTTACTTAGCAGCCACAGTAGCACCTTACAACTCCGTAGAAACAGCTATGGCGCCCACGATGGAACTCTTGGAGCCGGTGTCCCGTCCGGTACCCGCAGCTCTGTTCCCTCTTCTGAGTGTTATGCTAATTTTACTAGGGTTAATTGTCACGGCAGCATTTTTTATCTATGAAGTCTCAACTACAAAGTTAAGTCGAAGTGCTGTGAAAGAGACCTTCACGGCGGTACTGGCATCGGTATCACTAGGGCTTGGCTTTCTCTTCTTACTGCTTTGGTCGGGGGTGTACGTATGAATGGTCCAAGGTTGAAGTTTGAAGAGCGAGGCCGCGAGGGGAGAGGGGGGGGGGTAGATTGAAGTACATTTTGATTGATTGATTGATTGGTATATATAATAAGATTATACGCGGATATATGCATAGATATATGCATATAGATGTGGACTACAGAGTAGTGGGTGTTTTTCTGGCGGGAGACTGTCGCGCTGGGGGTTTATTCGGGTGCGGGGAGGGCGAAGGGGCCGGAGGGCGGCATAGCGGGGGACAAATTTTGTGGCGGGGAAGTAGCGGACCGGCAGTGTATCCCGCGTTTTCTGTTCTGGCGGGAAACTGCCGCGCTGGCGGTTTACTCGGGTTCGGGGAGGGCGAGGGGGCCGGAGGGCGGCATAGCGGGAGAGGAGTATCGGAGGGGAGTGGCGGTGGGGTGGGCGCAGGTTGGCGGGCGATACGGTGGGGGGTTAGTAGTCGGTAATAAGCGGGTGTGCAAGGGGGGGGTTCTTACGGGAGGCGCGCGGGGTCCGCTTTGCTACGCAGAGCGTTGACATTGGGTGGATAGAGTCAACGGTGAAGTAGGATGGATTCTTGATTGAATGGGACTGCTACCGGTCGTTTCCCTGTGATCATGAAGGGACTGCTACCGGTCGTTTGCCTGGGATCATGAAGGGACTGCTACGGGTCGTTTCCCTGGGATCACGTGGGTGTGAGTTTATAATCTGTAATTGCCCTTTCAGAAAGAAAAAAAAACAGATGAATCGGTAATAATTTACTATAATAAGTAATAAACTGAGTGCGTCTCGCGACAGGGGGACTGTGGAACTTGTCGGCAATTGAAAATAAGAAGAATAAGAATACATAGTGATAACGAGACTGTGCCAGGTGGGTCGAGCAATCAAAAGCTATTGTGAAGATGATGTTGAGACTCTTGAGAGGCCAACAAACGAAGAAGAAGACGATGCGTGGGGGAGGGGAAAGGGCGGGAAGCACTCATTGTGGATGACGGGGCGAAAATTTTGTGTGTGGGGAACTGTGGGCCGGGGGGCCAACAAGGAGCCCTACTAGTAGCCCTTTTCCCTTCCGCTTTCCGCGGAGTACGTGGGGCAAAGGGGGGACGAGGCGGAAGAAAAGTGCGCTGGGGGATCGTGGAGGGAGAGAGTCGGGGAGGGAGAGAATTTAGGAAGTGGAGGGGCTGGGGTGTGAGCGCGAGAGAGGGGGACGCGGGATCGGAGAGCTGAGCCCAAGGGTGTGTGTTGCCGCACAAGGCGTCCAATGACTAGGCAGAGGAGGAGAAGGAGGAGTTCCGTCATCAGGCAGAGGAAGGAGGGAGGGAGAGGGTAGTGTTGGGAGGAACTTCTCGGAGAGATGTGAGGAGAAGTAGGTGGAGGAGGAGGAGGAGTTCCGCCATCAGGCAGAGGAAGGAGGGAGGGAGAGGGTAGTGTTGGGAGGAACTTCTTTACCACATGGCTGGCCCGCACTTTCCTTGTTCCCGCGCTTTCCTTGTTCCCGCGCTTTCCTTGTTCCCGTGCTCTCCTTGTTCCCGCGCTTTCCTTGGTCCCGCGCTCACCTTGTTCCCGCACTTTCCTTGTTCCCGCGCTTTGTTTTACGGTGTGACGAGATATTGTGGTGTACGGCCAGGTTGTGGTGGTCAAGGAGAAAGAGTGATGGCGTGGCATTAAATATTGCTTCAACTGACACGTGGCAGATCTGGTGGGGCACGCTGTTTTCAACACAGTCCCGCCAAAAATGGATTACGTCTCTGTGATTAACGTTTTCCGGAAACGTGGGTGCACGTTTCGGCGCCACGTGTCTTTTCCGTCTTTTAAAAAAAAATAAAACGGACACGGTTTTCGATCTTATTCTACTCGTTTACCACGTGGGTTCAACACCACGTGGTTTATCTGCCTGCATTCCGCGGTTTATCTGTTTGTTTTTCTACTTAAAACTTGTTTCTGTTTTTTTTTTTTTTTCTCTCCCTCCTCTTTTTTTCTTGATTTCCCTTTCCCGTTTTTTCTTTTCTTCTCGTTTTCTTGGTTTCTTTTCTTTTATTTTTTCACTATTTTTCTGTTTTTTTCCATGCACACATACGTGTGGTTCATTGTTTTTCACTCGGTCTGTCCGGCTGCCACGTGTCTGGCCCGGCTGGCACGTGTCTCATCGCCGGACTGCCGCGCGTCTGCCCTGCTTTTCCTGCCACGTGTTCCAGTTTGCTGACAGACGTGTTCTTCGCGTGGCACGTCTGCTCCACTCTGCACTCCTTCCCTTCCTCCCCCCCCCCCCCAAGATAGGTCAGGAGGTTGTCTTTCTCTTGCTGTTTTTTTTTTTTTTAAATTCCTTTTCGTACACCCATGAACTGTTGAACTACGGTCCCGACCCCGACCGTTTCTTGGCGGTCGGCGTGGTCGGGGTCGAATCCAGAGTACTCTTGGGAACAGAAACGATTATCCCCGGTCACGTGAAGAATCCGTTTCGTTGTTCTTTGATCTTTTTCTTGTGTGTCCTTGTAGGTCGCACGGATCGTGCCCGCTCTTCCTCTTGGAGAGCGGTCGGGGTCGGGGCCGACCGTCGCTTGACGGTCGGCGTGGTCGGGGTCTCGATCAACGTGTCAGGCGCGGGAATTCTCATCGAAGGATTGTCTAGGGGTCTGGTCGAGACCGCCCGTCGCGTTCGCGGTCGGTCTGGTCGGGGTCGAGGCATCACGTACGCGGATATGTTTTTCTCCTGTTCGGCATCGACGGATCGGGTGCTATCTTGGTCGGATACGCCATCGCCACGATTGCAGTCGAAATCGCGACAAGTGTGCAGTTGAGATCCCGACGCGTGTGCTGAGCTGTGTGAGCGGATAAAGGATCGCCACGTGTGCAGTTGCAGTTTAGATCGCGACGCGTGTGCAGAGCTGTGCGAGTTCAGAAGGGATCGGCACGTGTGCAGTTGAGATCGCGACAACTGGGCAGCTGACATCGCGACACGTGTGCTGCGCTGTGTGAATGGAGAAGGGACCGCCACGTGAGCAACTGGGATCGACATGCGTGCAGCAGTTGAGATCGCGACAAGTGTGCAGCAGTTGAGATCGCGACACTTGTGCTGAGCTGTGCGAGTGGATAAGGGATTGCCACGTGTGCGATTGATATCGGCACGCGTGCAGTTGAGATCGCGATAAGTGTGGAGTCGAGATCGCGACGCGTGTGGATCAGGGATCGCCACGTGTGCAAGTATTTGAGAAGGGGACTACAATCGATCCCTTATCCACGGATACGATGACGGACGAAGAGGACGAGGGGAGGAAATCGGCCGTACCGCCTCTGAAAGAGCTATGCTTGATTGTAATTATAGAGAATCTTGACTACGTTGAGGACGTCGGGTATGTCGATGATGACCTGGCGTATGAGATTTTTCAACATGCCACGTGGGAGCAGCTGCTTCGGATCGAAAATGCGTCCAAGGTCAGTGCATCGGGGTTCAAGTGGTGGGCTAAGGACGAGTGTAAGCGGGGACTAATCAATATTAATTAAGAAAGATAATTTGTCAGATGTTTTTGGTCAGATCGTTTATTAACTATTCATTTTATTCAGTTAATACCTGAATTAATTCAGCCACAGATTAGTAAGAAGCTATGCTATCAGAGTGGTCCGGAAGGAAAAGTTGAAATGAATGAATGAATTAATTAATTAATATAAGGAGAAGTATAAATGGAGATTAATCTATATTAATTAAGTGGTTGCTGCGGGTTGGATAATTTCTCAGGTGTTTTTGGTCAGATAATTAACTAATTAGTTTTTCTTGTAGCCGTAGTAAGAAAATTTTAAAATCCTTCGAAGTAATTAATTAACTAATTGGTTAAATAACTTTTCAGTTAGTAACTGAATTAAATAATTATTTCGGCCACAGTTTAGTAAGGATAAGTTAAAAAAAAAAAAAATGCTATTAAGTAATCGAATAATTGGTTTAATTTGTACTCTGTTGTTTCAGGACAGAAAATTTGCTTAGATGTTCAGTAAATTAATTAATTAAACACAATTGAGGTATTGATTCATTATAGTAATTGATTAACTGGTTTGTAACGAGCTAAAGGGATTAATTAAGGTATTTAAACCCTTTCGCCCCACTTGACAGCCAAAGCTCGAAAAAAGAAAGGAGCTCGGATTTCGGCTCCTCTGGCCATGCGCAGAAAACCTCCACCCAAAAAATAAACTGAACAACTTTTGCCTCAGTGTCATATCGAAATTCTTTACCTTTTTTTTGTTTTTGTTTTGGCCCGACCGGGCAAGTGTTCCCGGGCCACTCTAGTAGCCTAGGTCGCGAAGCAATTTCGTTGATCAGTTCTGTGCAACGAATTGGCTCATCGATTTTTTTTTCGCGGTACTAATCTAGGCTACCAGACTGGCCCGGGGTCACTTGCCCGGCCGGGCCAAAAAAAATAAAAAAATAAAAAATATATTTTTTAATTTTATTTTTTATTTTAAATTTGGTAAAGAATTTCGATGTGACCCTGAAGCAAAAGTTGTTCAGCTTATTTTTCTGCATAACATAGTTTTTTTTGGGAAGTTTAGGAGTTATTTTTTTTTTGTGCTGGGACCTTCTCAGGTCCTTGCACGGGCTGGCCACCCAGGACCCGGGTGGCCCGGCTGGTAGCCTAGGTACTAATCAAGTATTTGTAGTCACGTACACGTAATAAATCTTTTCGTTATTAAATAATTTAATTGAAAAAATAATTGATTAATCATATCGATGGTTATCAGGCCGAACGTTCTGGGCCCCCCTGGCTGACCCCCGAACATTCGGGCGTTCGGGGTCCCGTTCGGGGGCCGAACCTGAAGGGTTTCCGTCCCCGCCAAAAATTATTTCGGGGCCTAAAAATGATTTTTTTTTGTTGAATTGTTTTCATTAATTCGGGGCCTAAAAATGATTTTTTTTTGTTGAATTGTTTTTATTATTTCGGGGCCTAAAAATGATTATTTTTTGGTTGAATTGTTTTTGCAAGTTCTGTAGGACGTGCTACACGCATGTAAATTTTCAAGGCATTTTGCCGAGCCAAACAAAAAAGAAAAATCGTCAAAGATGGCGGTGTTAAAGCGTGCTCGGCTACTTAGTTTTTTTTTTTTTTTCACTTTTCACTTTTGGTTGTGATTTTATTTTGGTTCCTCAAATATTTTATTATTTTTTGAAATTTTTTGCATGAGTTTTGTATTATGTGGAGTACACATGGAAAGTTGCAGGGCATTTGGCTATGCCAAAAAAAAAAAGAAAAATCGCTAAAGATGTCGGTGTCGAAAACGGGCTTGCGCACTCACTAATTTTAATTCTGTAATTTCTTTTTATTTTTTCTTATTTTTCTTATTAGTATTTATCTTCCTTCTGTTATTTTTATTTTAAATTTGTTAAGGAATTTGGATGTCATGCTCAGGCAAATGTTGTTTAGTTAATTTTTCTGCATATCATGTGTTTTTCAGATTTTTTTTATTATTAATATTTATTATAGTATTTATAATTATTTTTTATTTATTTTTATCCCGTACGTTCGGACGTTCGGCCCGTCCCGACCGACGGCCACCCTGGCGGTACTAATCAATTATTTTTAGTCACGTAATAAATCTTTACGTCATCAAATAATTTAGTTGAAAAAATAATTTATTAATCATTTGATTCATATCAATATTTATTACGTTACTATGTACTTCGCTGATCAAGTCCTCGTTGGCCATTTACCAAGCGCGAAAATCCAGAATGGATCTGGTCTTGAAAGTCGCCAGATGCATTGTCCATTTTTACCTTTAGCCACTGGTGGAATGTGGTTGTTGATCTCGACTACATACGTCGCTTCAGAAAAGATACCGATTTTTTTCCCTTTCGAGTCTCCATGTAATGAAGTATGGGATTCTTTTTTTTTTTGATTAAGGGTCGGCATTGTTATAGTTATTCTGTGTAATTTACGGTTTTTTTTTTTTAAGGGTTGACATTGTTGTAGTTGTGTGCAATTTACGAATTTTTATTTTTTTGCCGTTAGCAATATGATTGTTATCATTTGTTAATAATACTTAATATCATGCAATCACTCAGCTCCTCGAAATCACCCAGCTCCTCGATGATGATCACAATGTTTTAATTTGTTCATTGGATGTATTGATTTGTTGATTGAAATAATATTATTTTATGAATTTAGTTCATTTTTCTGTTGGTGCATTGTTACAACTTACAACATAGGACCCTGGGGCTAGGTCCCACTTGCACGAATTAAGCGATACTGACCGTAGATAACAGAGATCAACGGCCAGATTCTCGTAATGCGTGCAAGTGGGACCTTGCCCCTGGAAACGATTATTGCTCCGGCCATTCTGTTACTCTATTGATGACCATTTTTGTTTTTCCTCTCTTTCTTTTCCTCTTTTTTTAAAGAACAGTTTGTCATTGACCCTCGTTTGTTGTCCTCTTCTCCCTGTCTGCCTACGGTTTACCGGAGGCAGTTGTGTTTGATCATCGAAAAAAAAGGAAGAAAAACAGGAAAAAATGAATTCAGTTTTTTATCTTCTTCCTTATTAACTCCCCCTGTTCAGAACCTCTTGCGTCCAAGGCCGCCCACGTGGATGTAGGTTGAGCGGTGGCTGCCTCCACCCCCATGTGTCATATCGGCCCACTTGCACACAGCCAAAAGGCAAAGAGGCAAAGAAAAGAGCAAGGGAACAGCCAAATAATACTGAACAGGGGCAACAACACAGATCCCAGATGACAAGTCCCACATGCAAGCACCGGCCCAACACACACAGGCCAAACGACGGAAAGGCCATATGCGCACTAGGACTTTTGGACTGAATATGGCCTTAATTACAGGTAAGTTCATTCCCGGAAGTCTTTGTGTGAATATGCCCTAAGGGCAGGGCGATTGCGTTTAGATTCAGGCCGAGGAAAAAGGAGCGAGCGTCTTCACCCAAATAGAACGCGCGGTCGTTATAGCTGAGGAGTTGGTGCACAGAGATGATGAACATCATTTTGGCTCCCCCCCCAAACAGGTAGGGAGGGGGGGGGGGGGGGGGGGGGCTAGCTAGCCAAGAGGATTGGGTGAAGTTTATGAATCTGACTGTGTTTTATGCAGAGATGCATAAAGGGCAGTCGTCTTGCTACCTAGTGGGGGATTTTTTATTTTTACTTTTTTGGTAGTTTACACTATTCTGTTCATTGAGAGCAAAATCTCGGCGGTTTTTTTTTTTTTTAAATAATAATATGAGCCCAGAGATGATGAACATCATTTTCGATCCCCCCTGCTTTCTTAATTTTTAATAATTAAATTTAATTTATGATTTTTTTGGTGCTGTGATTCTGTCAGGGTCGAGATTTTGTGTCTATTACAGATGGCTTATGGAGGAATTGGTTTGAGAGGAAATGGGGTCGGGACGCCCGCGCAGATGTCGAAGAGAGAATGGAAGAAGAGGGGTATGCATTCGGATGGAGGCATATTTTCGAGGTGAGTGGTGGAAAGGGGAGCCCGAAAAAAAAAAAAAAAAAAAAAAAAGACTCAAAAGAGGGAAATCGGAAAAGGACGGAAGTTTTGGGAAAAAGGACGAAAATGTTTGAAAAAAGGAAGAGGAGGGAAAAAAGCAGGGTCTTACCATTCTTATGTCTATTTTTTTTTACTAAAATTAAAAATAAAACATGTTTTTTATATTGTGCCTATGTAGATCTAATACTCGAGTTATGTTTAAATGCTAGAGATTTCATACATGAAAAATTCAAGAATATATGGATTAAAAAAAGGGGAAACTGAAAGAAGGAGGGGAGGAAAATTATGGGAAGAGATGGAGGATTAGGAGAAAGGAAGAGTGAAAAAAAGAAGGGAAAAAGGTAAAAGAGGAGCGGTAAAAAGGAGGGAAAAAAAGGGGGAAAAGGAGGAAAAAATGGGAAAAACGAAAAAAACAAATTGCAAATGGTAGTGGATGGACACATGTCGAGGTGAGTGAAAATTGGGGTATTCAGCATTTTGTGGTTTCAAGCCCCATGACGGTCTGGGGCTCTCTTAAAGTGCCAATCGACTGTGAAGTCCACCGGATGCCCCTGATTGGTGGTATCAGTAGGGTGTATGACCAACAGGGGGGTGAGTGTGCGCGTGAGTGGGTTGTGTGTGGTGGGAGAGTGTGGGCTCTGTGTGGATTGTGCCGGGTGTTTGGGAGAGCGTGGGCTATGCGTGGAATGTGTGTGGTGTGTGGGAGAGTGGTGGCCATAGCAACTGCTGCTACTCGATGGGGGGTGCGGGAAGTAAATGGGAGGCACAGCTACTGGCAAAATGCTCGGTCTTTGCGGTAGCCGCCGCCGCCCCCCCAACCCGCGGCCCCACCGGACTCCCTGACCACGGCCGAGTAGGGGCGGTGGGGGCAACAGGCATCCACTTAATTGTGAGAGGTAGAAAGTGATGCTTGCAGGGGTCCCCTGTATAGGCTTAGGAGTAGTGGTAGGTAGATAGTGAAAGGTGAAATTGAGTGAAGAACATATAGCTTAGTTAAAAAAAAAGAAAGGGGTAAAATGGAAAATATGGAAAGAATGGAAGATATGGGGGGGGGAATTAAAAAAAAAGAAAAATTGCAAAAAAAAAACTCTGAAAGAGGTAAAATCATGGAAATGTGAAAAATGGTAGTCGAACGTTCCGTCTTTTGGATGTTGTTTTCTTTTTTTTCCTTCTTTTTTCCTTATAAAAGAAAGGAGTAGCTCCTCCCTCACTGGTTGAGTGCCAAGATTCGAACGCATGATCTGTTTGTGAGCCTGACTGTTCCCTTGTTCCGTTTTCTTTTCTTTTTTCTTGTTTTTAACGGAAAATTGTTCAAATGCCTCTTAAAGTAGGGGTATTTTGGGTACCCAAAAAGTTGGGGGGTATGGCGAAATGCCTCTAAATTATGCATATGTCCTTGTCCCAGCCAAGTGTAACTGTTTTTTTTGCATATGGGCCTGGCTGTGGACTGCAGGGTCCTCGCTCTACTTTTGCATCTGCCCGTTCGATTGATGATTGATCAAATCAATTGATTATTATTTCTCTAATCACTGCCTGTTCGATTGATGATTGATCAAAAGATTGATTGATTGTTTTATTTCTCTAATCCATGCTTGATTACTTCTCGCCTGAGGTCCAAAGGGACGACTTGCTGTGCACATTTTCTCTCGTTGAGACCTCTCCGATACCAAACTGTCACATACACGTCCAATCATGACAAAACTCTAGCGCAGCGGAAGACTGATTGTTATTTCTCTAATCAAGTGTATTCTCCACGGAGTCGACTCAAAGCAAGAGACTATATAAAGGCAGCATAAGACTGATACCAAACTGTCGCATACACGTCCAATCATGACAAGTCTAGCGCAGCGGAAGACTGATTGTTATTTCTCTAATCAAGTGTATTCTCCACGGAGTGGACTCAAAGCAAGAGACTATATAAATGCAGCAGAAGACTGAACATACATCTGACGCGGCACAGCAGTATCGGAATGGACAATGCACACTCATAAATGCATCACACGGTGAGAAGGGGGCAGCGCAGCATACAAGTAAGGGTCGCTGTCCCCTGATCATCCTCAGATGAAGGAGGAGGGAGATGGAGACGAAGGGGGAAGAGAGGGGCGAGAGACATGTTGCCAATGTCACCAATCTCGAATGTCGCTGAAGTCCCAGTCTCAATACACCGCCCAAAAACAGGTCTTTGCCCGAAATACCAGAGCCAGAGCAGAGCAATGGGCCGAGTGACCCCAAGTTCATATCTCATTGCCGCACCACATCTGTGAGTGGTTGAAGCTATCAGTCGTCACAACTGACATATCACAAGAGGGCGGGTGTTGAAATCCCTCTCCTCGTCCGCTCGCGTTTGTTAATTGTTGCACGCCTCTGTGGAACCGTCACGCCTATCGAAATAACTGCTTGCGCTTTCCACATGGAATCGTCACATGGCTGTCTAGTTTTGTCTCACCTCCTCTTGAGAGCGGCAAACGACTCTGCTTGTGCTTTCAAGTGGAAGTGTCGCACGGCTCTGTGGAACTGTCACACCGCCTCTGTGGAATTGGCACACCTTCTCGTGGAGAGCGGCGAACGACTGCTTGTGCTTTTGGATGGAAGAGTCGCAACCTCTCTGTGGGGAGAGGATATGGACGGACCTTCTCTTGAGAGCAGCGAATGACTGCTCGGCCAGCGCGAGGCCATTTCTGATTATGGAGCTTTGTACTCGGCCTCCAATTAATTCTGTGCAGGAGAAATTGCGACTGGATGAAGAGCAGGCGAAGGAGGGGGTTGCCCGACTGAGGGAGTTGTACATGGAAGCGCACAGCGCTAAGCGGGTCAGGTCATTACAAGTGTGCGACAAAGTGCCGCCTGGAAGGAAGAGGGGGAAAGGAGCCGCATCTTGGGGAAGTACATCTGGTTCTTCAGGTATGTGTTATCGAATGGGACGACCCTATACAATGTAACAGTGTGGTCGTTTGGTTAGCAGGGGAACGAAGAAAGGAAGGAAACATACGAAGAGATAAGAAGAATGGGATTAATTTGTGCCTGTCAAAACAAGAATGTGTGTGTGTGTGCGTGTGTGTGTGTGTGTGTGTGTGTGTGTGTGTGTGTGTGTGTGTGTGTGTGTGGTTTCTAAGATCGAAGTGTGTGATGCAATGGTTCTCTGCGACCGAAGGAGGAAAAGTGCAAGCAGAGTGTAATTCCAGTGATAGGATTCCATCTCGTCATCTTTATGATGTCGAGTGTGTGTGTGTGTGTGTGTGTGTGTGTGTGTGCGTGGTTTTTAAGATCCACATGTATGATGCAGTGGTGCTCTGTGACGTAAGAGGAAAAGTGCAAACAGAGTGTAATTCCAGTGATAGGATTCCATCTCATCAATCCACATGTATGATGCAGTGGTGCTCTGCGACGTAAGAGGAAAAGCGCAAACAGAGTGTAATTCCAGTGATAGGATTCCATCTCATCATCTTTGTGATCATCAAGATCCAAGAGTGACAAGAGGGGACTTTGAACTCGTGATCTGTTTATCATCATCATCATGTGGTGCAAACACAAATGCTGCATGTTCCTATGGAAGTTGCTGAGAAAACCGTTAGCATGTGTCGAGGAGAAGACTTTATTTTATCTGGTAGAACGAAACTGTGAAACTTCTTTATGGTGGTGCTACCTACCCCCTCTCCCTGAGCATGCAATGTGTTCTCTTCATTACTTTACGAGTCTTTATCGGACCGGAAGAATAGCTTGCCTGCATTCTCCTGCTCAGGGTATGTTTTGTTCAGTGGAGGGCATAATCTGGACTCTGGTCTGTTGCAATGCAAGCCCTTGTGGCTTTGACGAAATTCTCACCGCACTTCGAAGTTTGCGACTATCGAGTATCTAAGTAACTCTGTGCTGTATGCCCTGAAGCCCCCCTCTGGTCTGGCCTGTGCATTCAGAAAATTGTTAGGCCCCAGTCTGCCGCTTACGTTGTGTACTTGTAGTTTCCTGGATGATGTACTTGGATGGAGATTTGGTCTGAATGCACGAACAACCCGCCTCTGGTCTGGCCTGTGCATTCAGTAAATTGTTAGTCCCCAGTCCGCCGCTTACGGTGTGTACTTGTAGTTTCCTGGATGACATACCTGGATGGAGATTGGGTCTGAATGCACGAACAACATGCTGGTGCGAGTATGCTCATAGCCTTTCACCTGCGGGAGGTCTCGCATTGCCAACCTGCTCGATCCCACCATCTTCCCCGCTTCCGGCCCCTCCACTCTCTCTCTCTCTCTTGTGCAAACATCAGGATCACTGGTTTTTAATCAGAGTGCTAAGAAGGCGTGAAATGAATGTAGCTGTGAATGGGGGATGATCCGTACACACGCTTAGCTATTCATAGATGGGATACCTGGTTGGGGGCGGAGTTGTAGACACTGTTAATAAACAGATCAAGAGTCCACATGCTGTTGCATTTGTTTTTTATTTATTTATTTTTATTTGGACCATTTCTCGATTTATGCATGTCATCCTTGCGCAGGGGCCATGCTAATCTTCTCTGTATCGTTCCAATTTAACGGATGTCCCGAAGGAGTCGCTGTTGCATTTGTTATGTTTAGGGGTTAACCCCTTTTCTGAGGTACACAGTTGTTTCTGAGGTACACAGTTGTTCCATCAGTGGGGTCTGGGCGACGGTAAAGCTGTAGCATCTGCAGTTGTACCGCTATTTGTCACCCCGTGTGGAGATCGGGGAACGGCACAAGCAACGCTGCAACACCGGCCCCGCTTTCATTTTCTCTTTCTTTTTTCCTTGGTGCTTCCGTCCTCCGGAGTGTGGTTCAATCGAACATTCGCGGCTATGTGTTGTATGTAGATATTGTCTCTCCCTGACCCTGTGAGGAAGGGAGGATACTCAGGATAGCCTTCATTAGGATATGAAAGGGCCTGAGCGAATGAATAATGATGGGGGTGGTTTGTGGGGCACATTTTGGTGCGCAAGTTTAGTGAACGAGGGGCGGTTATTGAGGAGGCAGGGATTGGATTGAAAGGACATGAAATGGCCGGAGCTAATGTATGATTTGATTTTTGCAGGGCGCTTTGCGATGCCTAAAATTGGCGAACGAGGGCGGTTATTGAAGAAGGCAAGAATGGAAACGGAAACGAGGTACAGCTTTTTCTATTCAGGACTCTGTTTTTTTCGTACGCCTCTCTGGCATGCTAGCATAGTTTATGGGTTCGTACCGCTGGGCCAAAGGCGCTCCTCCGTGCAAGCACCTGATTCGAACCGGCGACCTGGGCCTCAAGAGCCGAGTCTCTTAACCACTACAGCCAGGACACGGTGTTAAAAGCGGAACCATACCGGCCATGATATCCACCCCACCCCTGCAAGGCTGTATAGTGTCCAACTGGACACACGCCACACACAACACCACTCGGACACATCACACGGACGCTGCGGCAATTCTCACGCACTTGCTCCAGTCGGCACGTAACCCGCCACCGGTACCTAGCCCGCTCACATACAAGGACTGCTTGCCCGCAGGTTAATTGGAGCCTCCATCCCTTCTTTCTTTTGTTTTCTCTTTTTTTTAATGTGGTTGTTATCTGAAGGGAAGGAAAAAGGAGTGGATGAACATTTGAGAGTTTTCCCACTAATATGGGATGTAAGAGGCTTTTTCTTTTTGTTAATGAAAACGGCTTAGAACCCAAAAAAAAAAAGAAAAAAAAAAGAGAAAAAGAAAACGGCTTCGAGCCTTAGACCAGCCAGATAGCATCATTTGGAATGTCACGAGGGTCTGTGGAGACACTGCCAATGGGACCTGCAGTCAGGCCTGCAGATTCAGCAGGTTTTATAGGGCCCCTAGAAATTTCCCGCCCTTTTTCTCCCGCATGATCTGTTTCTTTTTCCTTTTTTTATATTGTTTAATACCCCCCTCCAGTACTTATGTCCTTTCCCTTTTGACCCTTCCCTTGCTGAGCGGCGAAGTGACCTGCGCCGCATGAGCCGTGTCGGAGAAAAATGCCTGGCAAATGTACTGGACGTTTAAACTTTATAAACCACCAGTACTTCCTAAAGTCGTGCCCGTTAACGCACCACGATTTTAGGAAAGGAAACGTACGGGCCACTACAGGAGCAACCAAATTCATCCAAGTAGAAACGTTTCTACTCTTATTTTTTCCCACGGCCCATAGCTGGGCCAAGTACTGATGGTTGAAAATTGATGATCCCGACATTTCGATTGTGTCGAGGGAAAATGAAGAGGAAAGGTGAGGATGTACTTTGGGGGTAATGTGCCAAGTCGACCAGGTACGAAGTCACCGACAATTTTCGGCCAAGTGCCACTTTGAAGCACCAGTACATGGGCACCTGGGCCACGGGCCTGACTCCTCGAATTTTCTGGAAGCGCGAAACGAAAACGCGACCGCCGATCCACAATTTATCAACGGCAAGCCCAGTGTTTGACGTTCCGGCCTCGTTTTCTTGTGACGACAAGTTTCGGACTGCAAGGCTGGGGCTGTGTACTAGTGGTTTAAAGATCCTTAGGAAAGCTTGAAAAAAAAAAACAAACAGGAAAGCCAATTTTTTTTTTTTTTTTTTTTTGGGACCGTTTCTCGATTTATGCGTGTCATCTTTGCGCAGAGACCATGCTAATCTTTATTCTCTGTATCGTTCCAATTTTAACGGATGTTGCAAAGGACATCCATTAAATAAAGGTAGAGGATACAGGTCTACTGTTAGTTTGCTGTCTATTAAGAATTTAAGATAAACTCAAATCGGTTAACATTGAACGGGTTTTTATAGCTAGTAGTTAGGGACAACCTGCCATGATCCTGGCCTGAAAATAAGACCAGGTTCCTCATGCGGAAGACGATGGGCCTGTTCTAGAAAGGAGGTCAGTTTCATGCCAAGTTACATCAGAGAAAGTCCTGTCTTCTCGAGTCGGTTCTGGTTCTGTTCGAGGGGCATCTTGATTCTCCTATCATTGTGTGGCTATTCTCTGTTTTATGAACCTTTACGTACGGTCGTACCGTCAACCTTCCATGATCCTAGTATGTAAATAAGGCCAGGTTCTTTGTGCGAAAGACCATGCCCCCGTCCTCAAAAGTTGGTCAGGTGCATGCCAAGTTACTTTCAGACAAACCCATGTCTGCCTGAGTTGTTTTTGGTTCCTCTCTTAGTCAAATCTTGATTCTCTGATTCCCCCCGCCCCCCCCAACATGATCCCACGTCTTGATTCTCTTTTTTTTTTTTGTGTGTGTGTTGTCTCAACTTCCAGCCAGAGGTTGATGCGCGAAAGATCTCACCTGCAGCAGCAGCGGCCATCCGCGAATAACTTGCACAGTAGCATGGCAAGACATGCGAATGCTATGAAAATGCAGGCCCAGCTTTCAGAAGCATTACAAATTCCTTCGTTTGCGCAGCGGAAAACTGCGGACCCTTCTTTCGCCCAGCGGAAACCTGTGGACTCTGCATTCGCGCAGCGGAAAACTGCGGACGCTGGACGGCGTTCGGCCCCAACGCAGAACCCGGTCTTGCCACCGCTGGCTTCTAAGCGACACACTTTTCAAGAGGAGCATCGCACCGTCACACCTGTGCAGAAGAAGGCACCATTGACAAGGCAGCGGTCTCCGATATCCACGGGTTCAGGATGTGGAAGCTCATCGACGAGATCGGTCTCCGGCAGGATGCCGCCACAGTGCTCGGCACCCTCGACCCCTCGCAGGGAGCCTCCTGCGAGGCAGGGGTTGACATCTTGTCCGCTCGGTCAAGCAGCCGAAGCATCGTCGTCGCAAGTGTGTTTGCAGGCAAGACAACGCAGTGCCACTTTGACAGCATCAAGCCAGGACTCCGTAAAGCCTTTTTGTTCTGTTTCATTGTTGCAACCCTGCATTGCTACAACAAGCGCTGCGAAAACTGCGAAAACCGCATCTGCCCCGACGGCCTCTTCCAGCCACGGGCAAGGCATGAAACACCAGATTCCTGTGTTCTCCTCCAAGCTTCATGGATCAGGCGAATTGGCAAAACCGCAAGGTGGTGGTGGTGGGGTGGGGGGCACAGGAAAGTCGCAGGGAGGGGGGAGAGGGGAGATGGCAGTCAAAATGCAGCGAGGAGGGACAACATCCAGACCACATGCAGTTGGGACGGCAGCAAGGGCACCGAACGTCGGCACACAAGCAAAGCCCCAAGGACTTGGGTCATCAGCAGCCAAGCAGCAGCAGGGGGCAGGCACTGTACCCAGATTAGGGTCGCCAAGAGGGGTAGGACCTGTTGGAAAGCAGCAGGGGAGTGGGTTTTCGTCCAAGCCACAGGGTATCAAGGCAGCTTCTGGCGGATCGAGGAGATGATGATGGACGGAGAACTGTGCGAGGTTGGGAAGGGAGAGAGTGTATCCAGGGTTTGTTCTTCCAAATGGCTCTGTCTCTCGTTCCACAGCATCAAAATCAAGGAACTCGCGGCAAGCGTCTTGAAACACTTTGGGGTGAGGAAATATCTGCAATGATGGATGAAATGCTTGTGCACAAGGGTTGGAAAGAATTTATTCTTGAGAAGGACCCTGATGACGAACGGATGTGTAACCCGTTGTCGAGGCGCTTAAGGGGGGCGGGCCGCACCGGAATGCGGTAGGGAAGCAAAGGGGATGGGCGGAAAGGAGTGTCTTTTTCATGTTGAAGTTATCTGTCGTTTGTCAGTTCTCAGTAGCGTGCATGTTTACGACAGAACAGAATTCAGATTGCGCAAGTATACCTCCTCAGCCTTTTTTTTTTTCTGAAGCACTAGTACCTCCGCCAGTGCTGGGAAATTAGGGAAAAGGCCTGTTCCCGAAGAGTTTGGGGTCCGGGCCCGATGACGACTGCCACTGATAAATCTTATCGGCGGCCGTCGTTTTGTTTTGGCCCTCCCAAAAGGTCGGAGGCTGATCCGAGACCCGCTATTTCCCCACTCGGCAAAGGTCGTAGTGGTTTAAACAGGTAAGGTCCTCACCTCCTCAGCTTCTGTTTCCTGCTGTGTGGAAATGTGTGGAAATGTGTGGAAATGTGTGGAAATGATAGAGACCAATCTTTTTTTTTTTTTTTTTTTTTTTCCTTGAAATGAGGGATCAGTGTTTGATATGCAGCTGGAGATGTCGCCGGTCTTTCTGCTAGTTTCGTAGACACCTATGTATGCCCACTTTGCAGAATGCTAGGTTGGTCCCTCGAACACAGTGCATCCTCATTATGACTGCATTGTACCTGAAACATAGTGGGTATACAATCATGATCATTGTGCATTGTATGTGGACATTGTCTACCAGTCGGTATACACTCATGATCAGGGTGCATTGTATGTGGACATTGTCTACTCCTTTGGTATGGAAATGTTGTATGTGGTCACTCTCGCACCTGTCTCAGCCGAATATAATGTACGGCTAGGCTACCAGAGTGGGCCGGGGTCACTTGCGCGGCCGGGACAAAAAAATAAAAAAAATAAAAATTTACAAAAATATTTTTCAATTTTATTTTTTATTGAAATTTATTCTAAATTTGGTGAAGAATTTCGATGTGACCCTGAGGCAAAAGTTGTTCAGTTTATTTTTCTGCATAACATAGTTTTTTTTTTTTTGTTTTTTTTTGGCTGGGACCTTCACTGGTCCTTGCACGGGCGGGCCACCCGGGGCCCGGGCGGCCCGGCTTGTAGCCTAGATGTACGGTCATTATAGCTGTATTGGGGCTATCTTTCCGTCTAAATACAGCAATACCGACCAGATGATGTTGTATTCGGGTGAAGAAGGTAGTGTGAGAGTGCACGGATGTCATGGGGAATCGGTCTGTAACTGGTTGCAGAAGGGGGGGGAGGGAAAAAAAAAAAAGAAAAAAAAAAAGATAAGGCGCAGGCAGCTGTGACAGATTGCTTTTGGCCGGAGGTATCGGAAATCCTGGACAGTACTGACGAGCGAAGGTCAGTTGGTGCTCCCATGGACTGTTAAAATGCAGGCCTGAGTGGGGGTGGCATAAATTCCATAATAAAAAGAGTATTAAAATACTATTGAAGGCTTCAAAAAATGTGAAGATAAAAGTCATTTCATTTTGGTTGAATTCTTGGACCTTCTTTCTAAACACTGTTACTTTTTTATTCAGTCTTTTAGGTCCACAATAAAGAACAGAGTGAAACTTTCACACCCTTGCTGGACGGTAATGATGAACCAAGGTCGGTTGGTGCGCCCACGGACTGTCAAAATGTGGGCCTGGGTTCAAATCCAGATGAAACCAGATGAGCAGACTGATATCTGAAAATCTGGACAGTACCAACGAGCGCAGGTCAGTTTGGTGCTCCCATGGATTGTCGAAGAGATGCAGGCCTGAGTTCGAATCCAGATGTACCCAGATGAGCACACAGACTGTTTGGCCCGGCGGCATCTGAAAAGAAGCTGGACAGTGTACCGACGAGTCTCAAGTCTGTTGGTAGGCCCATGAGCTCTGTCGAAAGGAAGCCCTGAGTTCATATCCAGATGTAACAAGAGGAGCAGAATAAAATGATTCGAAATCCTCTTTCGCCGATTCTTCCTTTATTTCTGTTTGAAACTTTGACTTTGACTTTGACTTTGACTTGAGTTTGACTTGACTTACTCCTTTTTGGTCCATTCTGTGCGTCGAGGTTGCAGACATATTGGACGCTTTTGACTTTGACTTGACTTTGACTTTGACTTGACTTTGACTTCGACTTCTTTTTGGTTCATTGTGTACTTCGAGTTTGCAGACATACGGGATGCTGGACCCGGTTTCCAGCACACGGCCTACACTGGGTAATGGCTCCAGATCCTTTCTGGGTGATTGCCGTGCGGCCTCCGTGTGATCAATGCTAATAATTGCAAACCGTTCCTTCAACCCCTACCGGTAGTACCTTTGCCGTCCGGTTTCGACAAAGTTTTAGCCTAGTCCCGAACTCTTAGGAGGCCGGGCCCGACGACGGCTGCCGTTGATAAATCCGATCGCCCGCCGTCGGCCATCTTTTGACTTCCGCCGCCCTCCGGAAAGGTCGGAGGTCCACTTTTTTCCGAACCGACAAAGGTACTCGTCCTTTAAATAAAAATAAAATAAATGATAAATCTGGATATCGAAAACCCCCGTGGAAACGTTGTGAAAATAAAACACAAAACCTGAGCTGAGGAGGACCTTTCTAGAGAACACTAGACCACCACGATTATTCTCCACCCTTTGCCCCTTTCTAGAGATTACATAGGGTCCCTTCACCATATTCACTACGGTCAGCTGGAAGAATGTAGGTATGAGCCGTATGAATGATGTGTGCAAGAAAGACAAACAGTCAGACTCAAGACTGTAAAAAAAAAAAGAAAAAAAAAAAGAAAAAAAAAGAAAAAAAAAAGAAAAGACTCTGATCTTTACGTGCCCTGATGGTTGTGATTTTCAAAGCCGCTAGCAAAAGTTATTCCAGTCAATGCTTGAGAAAGGGAGGCTTGGCAATACGAGTGGTTGAAACCATCAGTGACGTACCGCATTTTTCGTTCCCCCCGGATTCGGATGAATTCGGAACACTTCTGCTACTTAACCACACAGCAATGAGGTGGCTACCTTTTCCCCCTAAACATAACACATATACGTCATAAACGAATACAACGCATAGGGTGCATTCTATTCCAATAGAACACGTACGCGTTCTATTCGAAATAGCCCTAGATTTTGAATACAACGCATATGTATGCGCTCTATATTCGATTTTTTTTTCAAATTTGAAAACTCGAATGCAATGCATATGCGTTGTGTTCGGGGGAAGAAGGTAGGAATGTTTGCCCAACGAGGGGTGACTGTGAATGTTTACCCCCCGTGGAAAGTAACTGGTCCAGAGTGGTGGGGACCACAATTTCGCACAAAGCTCCAAAGCGGTCCCAGAGCTCCAAAGGCTTGGGTATATGTCTCTATTCAGCAAGCGAGCCCCCACCAAACATCGTAACAGCCGAACTTGTGTCCATAATATCCATATTACTATGCCCAGCGTGCAAGTTAACCGAAAAGCTGAACCGTATGGAGAGTAGATCAAGGACCACAGTTTCGCTTGCGAAGCGAAAGAGATCGAATATACAAATCACGGCCGAGCTCTTGTCGGCAGAGCAGACACCTGAACATAATCTAGCATTCCTTCTATTCAGAATGGAAGTCGACAAAGCTGAACTTCATGCAGACAAGAGCAAAGACCACAACATGCGAAGATCTACCGCGCGAAGAAGTCGAATATACAAATCACTGCCAAGCCCTTGTTGGCAGAGCAGACACCCGAACATCGGTGATCATACCATCTTAATTCCTCTCACTTAAGAACAGAGCAATAGACCTACACCCACAAGGGAATCAAAAAAAAAAGAAGAAAGCAATAGACATTCAAGCGTAGCTTCTCCTAGCACAGCCCCGAGTCGCCTATGTAAACTGTCGAGCAATAGAGATGCAGGACAATCATGCCATATTAAGCAAAGGGATGCCCTTGCTTGACTGCAACAACGGAACACAATCTCATCCTCATGGAAATGGATGAAGGCATATTAAGAAAAGGGGTGAAGGCATAACAAGTTGCAGAGAATTCAACGGAAATGACGTGTACTACCACCTTCACGGGAACACAAACTCATCCTCATTCAACTGTATCGGGCTGGAAACATATCTTCTGTATGTTCATTTTTAGGATGCGTTATGATCAGGGGAGATGGCAGGCTACTAGCACAGTTGTGATTTGCCAAGAGACTAGTGATATACAATAGTCGCCGCACTTGTGTTAGAAAATGGGTTTAACGAGGAAAGAAAAGTTTTCGAAGGAGATGTGGGGAAATTTTAAGAATGGGGCGATGATAGAAAAGAAATAGGACATTCGAAAAGTGTGTCTTTGTCCTTCTGCTGCGCATGTGGGTGCTGCTATTAAGCTTCCCGGTCGCAGAAGCACCCCGGGGGAGTGTATGGTTTGGGGGGGAGGGGATGGCCTATAGCAGTCCACCCTTTGATAGGCGACTAGTACCGCAAGGGCTTGGCTGATTAGTATCCCTGCAACTACCTTGCTTGAACTCGTGCTTGCCGATGATAAGCAGCCGGACTGATGGCTCCCAGGATAAATGGGGCTTTGTGAAGTTTGTGTGTTAAAGAAAAAGGAAAAAAGAAAAGAAAGAAAGATGTCTTTTTTTTTTTTTTGGCTGCTGAATTGTGCCCGAATGTACGCCCTCCTTGGGCATGGTCCCACTAGCAACGGGGACTGGCTTAAGATCCTGAGTCTGGGCATGTTTTAGGCAGCGTTTGTCCACAAACGCGGCCAACTTAAGGCGTTCAATCCAATCCTCTTTGCTAAATTAAATGGGACCTCGCCGCCTCGGCCCTTGTGTCATGCTGCTGTTGCCAAGGTTGTGGGCTGTGGGCGGTGTCAGTTGCGCAGTGAGTGTCGGGGCCCTTCTGCTGGCTGGCCTCTGGCAAGTGAAGGCCTTGTGGGGCTAGACGTCATCCTGTCGCTCTTGGTTGGGGGAAAGGGGGGAGGGGGCAGGGGTTGGGGGGGGGGGGGTGGATGTGTCTTTGTCATTTCTCGTCTGTATCTCAGCTTGGTATAGCTGCGTGAAACCCACCAGTGCGGCACGAATAAGGGCATCGCCACACCACTGCTGAAACGGAAACAGAGCAAATGCATCTTCCACGGAAAGTGGTATAACATGCATGCATTGCCATTCATGGTAACAGATGCATCTTGCCATTCTCTGTGGGAAGATGCACTCAGAGCGGATGCATCTTGCCATTCTTTGTGGGAAGATGCACTCGTACTTTTCTTGTTTCGACAGTCGTGTGGCGAGGCCCCAACATATCAATCTGGGCGCTTGGTGCGACCAGTCTTTTGCAGTCGGGAAGAGGTTCGACACGTCATTTTGGGACAGGTAAACTGCTGATGGCTGTATCGGAACAAGATAGCGTGTCATCTCACAGTCCTTTCAGATGGTAAAAGTTTCATCTCACAGTCCTTTCAGATGGTAAAAGTTTCATCTCACAGTCCTTTCAGACGGTAAAAGTTTCGTCTCACAGTAAAATTTCATTTCACAGTCCTTTCAGGGGTGGGGGGGCAAGCTTTGCCGAAGTGCCGGCGGGACGTGGTTTACCACATTTTTCAGGGGGCATCAGCAAGTAACAGGTCTTGCTCCACCACGCTCCACTTCCAAAAAAAATGGAAAGTATTATTTCGAAGGTTGTCAGGTTCTCCAACAAGGCCTGAAAACGCATTTACAGACTGTGTGGAAGGGGAAAGTGTGGGGTATGTACTCGACACTGCAATCTTCCGCTGGATACAGCACCCGGTCAGTATGGCTGTATCTGGCCGTGCACTAATGCCACTAAATGCTTTTTTTTTATTTTTTATTTTAGTAAAGAAAGGTCCATGTACGACAGCAGGCACCTCCTGAGGCCTAGCATGCACCCTCCACCAAATGCAACAACTTCACCGGGTGTTGTGTTTAAGGAACACGAGGTATTTACCGCGTGTTGTCATCGCTCCACTTACTCTCCGTGGGAGAACTCTCCAAATTTGGTTACGAGAAGGAGAGCACAAAAGACATCCCGTCCTTCGGGACGTCCGTTAAAACTGGAATGATAAAGAGAAGATTAATTACAATGGCCCCTCCTGCTCAAGGATGGCAC